ACGAAAGAAGGCTGTCTCTGGACTGCTGGTTTCAAATCTTCAGTATCAAATTTCAAAAATCAGATTCAAGTTTGTATAAACATGATGTAAAATAGTTCAGAATTTATAACTGAAAAGGCACATTATTTATAAAAGATGATCCTTCTTAGAGGAAAACATATTAGACAAGAACTCAGAGAATGTTTTCATGCCAAGGCAACAGGTCTCATGGATAAGGGATGTCACACCTCACAGCTTTTGCAAGACTCCTGATGCTGTCCCAGAACATTTGTACAAACATCTACAGAAATACTGTTTAACTGACATGACTGAGAGGTTCACAGATATTGGGGGAGCTTAATCTGAAGAATGGTTCTGGGTGGTTTCACTGTCAGACTGCAAGGATGCAACAGAAAGGGTCAGAAGAGGATTTGATTAAAGTCCACCCCAATTCAGTGCTTTAAATCTTTCATCTGTTGTACAGCTTGAGGACCTTCTAAATCTAAGACATGAAACTGGGAAGGCTGGAGGGCCATGGGTTGAACTGGGTTTTCAAAAGATCTTGACAAATCTAAAATGATCATGAGCAGGTCCAAACTAAAATGTACAAATAGAGAATATGAACAGCAGAGAGGGTTAAGAAGAAACATGATCAATGATATCACTTGCCTGCAGTGGGAGAAGGAGAAGACAACCCTCACACAGATGTGTAAGTGAGAGCAGCTCTTGGCAGATCCCTGAGGCACCTTCCCTCCCCTTGGCACCACAGCCCAGCCCAGCCCCGTGTCCAGAGCTGGGCACCACCTCCTGAGAGTCACAAGCAAACCCAGGAGTTCAGAGTTGGGTAGGAAGAACAGGGAGCTCTGGGAATCAGCCCCTGAAGGGTGGCTGGAGGCTTGGAACTGTTTGGTCTGTGGAAATCTGGGAAAGGTGCAGAGTCCAGGTACAGGGTAGCTGGGGGAAGGGAATAATCTGACCTTTGTGTCAGATACGAAAAGGAGGAGTAAGACCAAGCTTTAGTGAAGCTTCACAGAATGAGGTTTGATGGTATGAAAAGTCTTCTCACAGTAACACAGTTATGCACTTTGCCTATCAAGGTCGCAAAGCCTCCATTATCTTTTAAAAAAAGAGATCTTTTAAAAACCAGGTGAGACACAGGTCCATCAGTAACAATAACTGAAGGAGCACCGATGGGGCTTCTGGGCAGGGAAGGCAGGTTGAGCAGCCCAGCTCACAGTGCTCCTTCCAGCTGCTTTCTGAAACTCTACTCCAAACGTTTGCTTTGAGGGTTTTTGTGGGTTTTTAAAAATGTTTTATTTTAAATAAGCTCCTGCGTTCCTGATCTATCAGGAGGAAACAATCTCACTCTCACACACTGCCTACACATCTCACTTCAATATGCCATTTTTACATTTTTTAAAGCCCCTCTGAAATGAATTCCTACTTCCTATCACTTAAAAGTAGGAGTTAAACAAAGCAAAGGACTCAGAAAGAGAAAGGCACTTGGGGACTGTTGTCCTCTGCACTGTTCCTCCGGCAGAGGCACAACCACACAGATGTTAATTCCTGGCCCGAGTATTTTTGGAAATACTTCCCGTATTTTCTCACACTCCCGAGCTCTCAGCAGGCCCACGGTGTGTAACATTTCCTTCCTCACTCGCCTCATTATCCCGGCCTCTCCGGACTGACATTCCCTCCGCGAGGCATTCAGGTTCCCGAACTCATCCGAAGTCCTTCCCATTCCCCCTCTCAGTCCCTGCTGCACCTCCCGTGGAACCTGAGAGCCCCCCAGTTTCACACCCCCCACGCGGTGTCCCCTGGAAGCACCGACCCCTTCCCTCACATCCCCTGCTCACCCCCCCGCACCGCCCGGGACCCGCACGGGCACCGGAGCCCTCGTGAGGCACCAGCAGGTCACGGACGCGGCGCTGCGCTTTCAGCACGGGCCGTGCCGCACCGCAGGGCGGCTCCCGTGGGTGCCCGGGACGGGGGAGCCCCGTGAGGGGCGGCCCCGCCGAACCGCGGCGGTGCCCAGTCACGGCCCTGACTCAGCGAAACCCCGGCGAGCAAACGCGGCCGCGCGCCGCCGCCTCACCGGCCGAGGTGATCATGGTGGCGCCGGGCTGTCCGTCGGGGCGCGGCACGGGGGGCGCGGGGGGTCCGAGGGGTCGCTCCGGTCTGGCCAAGCCGCGGTGCCGCCGCCGCCCGGCCCGGAAGTGCCGCCCAGGGCCCCTTCCGGCGGCTCCGCGCTGTAACCGGGAAAGGTGCCCGTGGCGATCGCCTGCGCGGGACGGCGGGGAAACCGGCAGGCGGGAGTGGGGCAGCCCTGCCGCGGGGGTCCTCGCGCCTCCCTCTGCCCTTCACTGACACGACGGGCTCTGCACGAACCGTCGGAGACCCTGCACAGCCCACAGAGCCCACACGGCACCCGCACAGCCCACAGAGCCCACGCGGCACCCGCACAGCCCACTCCTGATACTTGGCATGGGAGGGTGCTCAGCCCTCACCCCACAGCCCAGGAAGGGGGCCGGAGCTGTGGGGTCCCCACAGGGGACCCCGTCAGTGCCGGTGTTCGCGCCGTGTCCAGAGAAGCGTCTGTGCCCCTCTGCCAGGACAGGCCGCCCGCAATGAGGAGGCATCTTTGGGGCACAGCGTGTGCCTTGGCGTCACAGGGATCAGGGATTTTACCCCATGGATTTACCACCTCTTGCCGGCCGCCTCTGACTCTTCTTAAATATGTTTTCATGGGGAAAGGCCTTACCCAACCCCATCTCTCCCTTGAAAAGGGAAGCACAAGTACAGATGAGTCTGACAGCCCCCTACCAAATCCCTTTCCCCCTCCATCAGTTGACAGCACAGGGCAGTGACCAGATCTGCACAGACACAGACCTGAAGTTGCCCCAGTTGTGGAGGAACATGGAGTTATTTTGGCTCCTGCCTTGGTTCCAGTAGGACAGATGGGACATGCAGGCTGGTGGATTTGCAAAAGGGAAAGTCCAGCTCAACAGCAACAGTGCTGCCTTCTGGAAGGCTTGAATTCCCTGATGGCATCAGTGAGTGAAAGTAATTAGTGAAAGTTATTAATGAAAGTTCTTAATGAAAGTTCTTGATGAAGGTTACCAGAGTCCTACCCAAGACCCCAAGAGGGGCAGCTCCACCTTAAAGACAACTGGGAAGATCTCCAGCCTTCCCCACTGCCCCACTTGAGCTGCTCACAGACCAGTTGTGCTGGTCTTCCAGATATCATACACTGGGGTCACTTCCATTCCCTACCCATATCCCTTTTATTCAAACCAAGATAAATATGAGTTAAGCCATGGATAATGCTACTTTAAGGATTGCAAACAAACAAACAAAAAAACCCAGAAGCACATTCCAATTCAGAAATTAAATGTCTTTATTTTTTACAACAAGCACATAACAGTGCCCTTACCTTATTAAATAAATGAAACATGTAAAACTATCTGCTTACAGCTCCATGTGTCCAGATAGTGAAAAAAGACAATAGAAAAAAAAAGAAAAAAGGATTCAAGTCACTTTTATTCCTCAAAGGCAAACAATACTTTTGATCAAAATTATTCCCACTCACACCTCCTAAAGCCCCAGGCAGTTAATCTGCTTCCACAGAAGTCTCCCTGAAAGGGTAAACCTGTATGATTTACCTAAAAATTACCAGTAAATAAATCCATTGGATTTTCAGCACCAAGGTAAGTTTAACTGCAAATCTGTGCTCTTGGGCCACCTCTGCATTGGTGAATTCCTGGAGCAAAGGCCAAATGCTGCAAGAAAATAAAGATTTCCCCCACCACAGTGTCAAGTCCTACTGGACTCACCTAACCAAGGGCTTTATTGGGAGATACAGACCTGCCCAGTGACCTGGGCTCTGCTGTGCAGACAAGCAGAGAGACTTCCCTGCACAGCAGAACCATGGGCTCGTGCCAGGGATGGAGCAGGAAGGAACCTTCATCCCACCAAGATGCACTTAGTGCTCAGTGCTGAAACCTGTGGTCATGCACAGAGCGACTCACACCAAGGGACTTCATTGAGTCACTTAGTTACCTTTTTATTTTCCACCTGGTCATTAGCACAGAAATCCCATCATAACCCCAGCGGGGTAGGCAGGTGTTGCTGTCCCCATCCCACTGGTAGGGAAACTGAGGCACAGAAAAATGATTTGGTGAAAACTATTGATGATCATGGTCATGAGTGGAGCTGGGTAAAAAGAAACATCCCTTGCTCCAGATAAGAGCTAGAGAGATGCTGAAGGCACAGTGCTGGGAGAGAGTGCTGGCCAGAGCTGGCAGGACTGCAGGCACTTCAGATGCCACTGGGAAAAAAGGAGCCGGAGAGGGGACAGACATGCACAGAGGATGTACTGACACAAATCAGCGCTAACCCAGAGGAGAGGTAGGCAGGACATGACAGGTTGAAGTTGCCGATCTGAGCTGGATCAAACTCCTAAAGAACACAGCAGCTTGTGCTAAAAATAAGACATGTTTTACATTGCATAAAGTAAGAATGGAAAAGGTAGTAATATTCCTCATAAACCAAGGATTTATAATTATTTGTGTTGCCACACAGAGTACAGGCAGCCCTTTGGAACTACTTAAATAGATAATTTTTATATATTTATTCATGAAGCAGCCACATCTTGTGTTACCTGTCACCTCCAAGCTCTGCCAAATCATAGCTGTGGAGATGTCCCAGGTAAGATGGGCCTCTCCCATAGCCCCATCTAACACCAGCCACACCTTACTGTCCACCTGCCACCCCTCCAACCCAGGCAGTCCATCAGCCAGTCTGTGAGCACCAGGACAAGCCAGAGGAATCCTGCTCCCAAACCACACTCTGCTCAAGCTGCCATTACTATCAATATCTTTTATGTTATTCCTGCTACCCACAGTGAGCTGTTACTGCATTCTTTACATTACACAGTTACACTCAAGCCTTTTCAGTAGCTGGTAGATCCAGGACCTCATTTAGTCCCACTGCAGTCTCTCCACACCACTGTGTCACTTGTCTTTTTTTTTTTTTTTGGCTCGATCACAAAGAGAGTGGGAACTTCAAAGCACCAATAAAGCAGGAAAACAAGGCAGCAGAATTGGTCTGCCAGGGAGGCCAGCCCTGGCAGCCTCAGCAGGGAACTTTGCTCGGAATTAGAAAATGCTCCTCATTCTTCAAACAGGCGGCTGCATTTCATGCTCAAAGTCCCAACGTCATCTTGCCCAGGATATGGGATACATCCCCAAAAGCCTTCTCAGAAGCCCAGTGTCCAGCAGCAGCTCCAGGCACAGCAGGGAATGGCTCTCTGGCACAGACCCCAGAGGCTGTTGGCAGCTCCAGAAGACCCTGAGGAGTTCAGCTGAGCAGCTTCTCCACAGAGTGGTGGGTCCTCGGAGGAGAGGGTGAGTGAGCATTGCACCAGCTCCTCCTCCCACTGCTCCAAATCCACCAGGCAGATCTGGGATGTGGACTGTGCTGGGTGCCCAGCAGCTCTAGGTGCCTGTGCCTCCAGCAGCTTCTTCGCAGTTTCCATTGGGGGACAGGCTGGTCAGAGCCACTTCTTCCTCGGGGTCCTGCAGGCCATCTACAAAGAGCAGAGAGAGGTCAGGGGAGATCTGAATGAAAAACCCTTCCTCATAAAAAATACAAAAGATGAAAAGAAAGCATGGAATGAAGCAGTTATGTATACTCACAGCCTAAGCACAGCTGATTTTTTTCATAACTGAATTTTATTTTGTTTTATAAACTCAACATTGCTTCAGCGAGTAAAGCAAAGGAGCACAGGGCCCAGCTCCTGGCCTCCTGAAGTCTCAGCAAGCTCAGAACAAGTTGCATGGCCACAAGGCATCACTTGCCTGGCACTGACAGCAAGATCAGGCACTCTTCTGACCCTGGAGGACCTGTCTCAAAGCTACACAAAGTGGGCATTTCAATTGTTTTCTCCAACTCCTATGCACTTTAAGCATTTTATGTTTAAGAGGCATTTGGACAATATCCTTAATAATATTCTTTAATGTTTTGCAAGCCCCAAAGTGGTCAGGCAGTTGGACTAGATGATCATCATAGGTCCCTTTCAACTGAAGATATAATCTATTCTATTCTTTTTACAGCAAAGGAGCTTTCCCTTCTCTTTGCGCTTCATAGAACAATCTGGATCTCCACACTACACACCTTGTAGCCACCTGCATGAGGCACTTCTGCAGAAAGAAAATCACTGCTGGGAAAGCCAAGCAGAAGTGCCAACTGTGCACAAAGGCTGAACACAAGACTATTTGTTACCTGAACAATTTCCTTTAGAATCAGGGAGCCCAAGGCTGATTGCCCTCTCCCTTCTCTCTGCCAGCCCCAAAGGCAAGTGGTTTGAACACTCCTTCCAGCTGTGTTTGCAGGAAACATCATGTAACATCAGGGTGATGCTTCCAATTCATTGTTTAGACAGACAGTAGTTCTGCTGCCAGAAACTCCAGCAAAAGGCAGCTGAGTTCAGCAGTGCTTCCAGGGGTGTATTTGGGCACTGGACCCAGCATGGCTTTGTTTAGGCAAGCAAAAGGTCAGAAAACAGGGAGACAGCAACACAAAAGACATGTGTGTGCTGGTTGTCTTCAGGTTTGGGCCAAACCACAGCCAGGGAAGAGAGGCCAACTGCAGAGCTGGAAATAGCTGCAGGAGGCCACCAGCAAGGGATTTGGGCACCAGGGATTTGGTGAGGAACCTCTGATGGTCACAGCAGAGTACAAGGGAGAGAGCAGGGCATACCTTCATGAATGTTGTTTGCAGCTTTTGCTTTGTGATCTTTTCTCCAGTTCCTCTGTTTCCAAGAAATGCACCGCAGGAAGGATGGGAGCCTCCACCTCTCCCTGTCTTTCCCCTCTTCTGAATAAATGAGAGAAGCTGAGTTCAGACTGGTAGCAGGTCAGCCCTGCTGCTGCCCCACTTCCCCTCCACAAGCCCAATTTCTCACAGCAAAACCAGGTCCACACCACAGAGCCACCCATGGAAAGCACAGAGCAGTTCCTGACAATCCTTATTTCTGGCTGAAACCTCTCTTCTATCCTGGAAATTTGTCTCCAGTGTCAGTTCCTACTTTGCTACCTCACTGCCAAAACCATTCTGGATGCAGCAGCCCAGAGTGAGCAAGAAACCTGGCAGGAGCTCAGCCAGCACACATGGCGAGGCTGGGAACTGACATGGTGAGGGAATTCCCACAGAAGGAAGATTTTCTTTTGCATTATCACACAGCTTCTGCAACATCAACTGTTCCCTGCTTTATTAAGCAATTCCCTGAACACACACAGGCTTGCAGCACACTGAACACTGCAGCAAATTGCAGAGAGCCTGCGGTCGATGTATTTATTCTGGAAGACAACAAAGTTACTACAGATTTTCAAGCCATTATAGTAAAACACTACAGCAGCTTGTAAAATACTACAGCAGTGTAATTTTTATGGTCTCCAACAGCAGCAGTTCAGCATCTCCATTGAGCCTTTCACCTCCTAATCAGATAACAAATGATAACAAATTCAGCGTCCTTCAGCTTATCAAACCATTGCGACACTAAAGGGTTCACAGTGACAATCCTTCCTGCCAGTCAACAAAACAAAAGCTCTAGTGCACTGCCTGGCATGGCTCTTTGGAGGCATGGCTATGCTTGGGATCCCTCTGTCCATATGGAGATTTTGGAAGGCAGGGCTCACAGCAGCATGGAAAGAAGCTGTCACTGCCTAAGGTTGAACCCTAGAGCTGATGAGTGTCCTCATTACACATGCAGGTCCTGGGACACTTAAATGACTCAGAGCACCAGGCAGAGCACCAGAGTTGAATTAAAGCTGAGTCCTCCTACCCACCACAATTATAAAGCACACACAAACAGGCTGCAACACCCAATCCAGCTCCTCCTGCTTCTCGTTCTCCACAGCTACATATACTGAGCCAAGCACCAGCAATGCGCCAACGTAGAAAAAGGTCATGTATGCAGGGATGCTTTTCTGCGTCTGCAGCTGATGCCCCACCAGGCTGCTGTGACCAGAACTGGAGGACTCACTGGTGTCTGAGAGCACACCAAAAATTCTTGCAGCACCAACAATGTGAGGAAGACGAAAACTTGCAAAAGGAGAGACGCTGGAAAGCAGACTGTGCATGCCTCAGTTACAGAGTTGGCGGAAGACAGCCCTGTGCCCTCACAATGGGTCCCAGCCATCTCAAAGCTTCTCGATGTTCAGATCCAAGATTCTGGGCTGAGCTGATGGAAAGAAGCACCTGAACTGCAGCCAACTATCCCGATGTCCCAGGGATCCCAGAGGACCCTGTCAACGTGGTGCTGAAGGCAAGTGCCTGGACCCATTAGGGTAAAGGCAGCAAGATAGCCGAACACTCAAGCCCCTGGAAATGCTGGGGAGCAAGGGAAAAGTGGGAAAAAATGTAAGAAGGGAGGATGAAAGGGAAACAGCCCAAGACAAGCAGTGCCAAAGATTAAGGTGTTTTGCATGGCAGTTGTGACAGCAGAGCCTGCCCAGCTGCCCATCACCCTGCAGTGGCACACAAACATGACTCACCTTTCGCCCCAGAACAAGTGCTGTTCCTCAGGCCTGACTGACACCCAGCTTTCATCCTGCCGTCCTCACCTTGACGTATGGTTTTACACCCAAACAGTGACTAGCTGTTCTCACTTTTTCATTTTGTAAAATCAGCACAAGCATCTTCCTCCTGCAGGAAGGTCAGGTCCTGCTTGCACCCTACAGCATGGGCCACACCCCAATCCTGCATCCCTCAAGAACGCACGTGGAACAAGCATGGAAGGCCACCATGTCATGGACGGCCACAATGTCACAGCTGTCAGCTGCCACATCCCTGTTATCCGTGAGCTGCTCTAGTACTTCCCAAACTGCTGGGATGTTTGTCCAGCCGCTAGAACTGGGAACCTCACCAAAAAGCGACAGATCCCACTGGGAAGGCTCAGATCCCGCTAGCATGAAAGAGGTCTCATTGGAGAAAGACCCCATCAGGAATGGTCAGATCCCGATGGGAAAAGCCAGATCCCACTGAGGGGGAGATCCCATCAGGAGATCAGATCCCATTAGGATGGGGTAGATCCCACCGAGGAGGGGAAGATTCCGCAGGAAAACGGAGGAAATCGCGCTATAAAATCCCCCGGGTGGGAAGGAGGAAGGGTCGGCCCGGCCCCCCGGTGTCCCCCCCGTCCCGGTCGGTACCTGCGGGGTGCTGCAGGGCGGCCCGCAGGGCGCGGCAGGCGGCGGCGCGGCACTCGCCGGGGCAGCCGGGGCTGTACCGGGCCGCATGCACCGTGCCGGGCGCCGGGAAGTGCCGCCGCAGCGCCGCGTCCAGTACGGCCGCGTCCTCGCCGTCCCCGCCGGGCAGCAGGACGCCCACGACGGCGGGCGGCGGCGCCGCGGGCAGGCGGCCCCGCACGTCCCGCACCACCTCCC